CACCTTGGGGACTCAAAGGTTCAATTTTTTTTTAATTGGGGGGTAGGGAAAAGTTACACTTTATGTAGAATGTCCAGTTTTTCAGTAGACACAGTTATTCTGTCACTGTAACATGCCTTTAGATGAGATTAAAAGATTAGTTTAATTAAGATGTTTGGATGCAAAAGGCGCCCATGGTGTATTAAAACGATCTGACATTAATGTTGAGAATTTGTCATTATATCATTGCAAAATTTCCCTAAACTAAGGAGAGATCTACCATTTGTTTCCAGAGAGGAATCAAACCTTAAAGGTTTCACTTTTTGTGGTTAGAAGGTCTACTGACTCAGCTGCCAGAACTTGTTATTGTACAACAAAATTGTGGCCATAAAGGAGGGCTCAGGATCTGCAAGTTTAAAAAGATTTTGTGCAGTAGTCTGAATTTCAGCAGTCTAAGGGAAGATATGGCTGAAATTCAGACTACTTGTGCAGAAATTAAGCCCAAGACTTACCTATTTAACTAACTGTTGGTAGTTGATTACCAAAGTCCTTAAAAGCTTTAATGTCATTTGCCAAAACTATTTGGTACCAGCCAAATCTTTGAAGCTGGGTTTTGGACATTAATGCTACTTTTGTAAATCAAACTTTTAGAGTATTTTGGCCTCTGATTTTTGATAAGTTTTGGAAGTTCTCCAAGGATACTGAATCTATAACAATTTGCCATGCTGTCTTCAGGTACTATACAGGAAACAAAATCACAATTAATGACTAATGATTAGTGAGAATGGAAATACAGAAAAACTTTCTAACACAGAAGAATGTAATTACTGGTAACATCTAAAATACCTTGAAATTGATAAAAATGCGAGATAATGTAGCAGAAAAAATCAGCTTCCAGATATTTCATATCTATATTTTGTGCAAAGGAATTTGTAGTATGTAGTTTTTGGTGTATGGTTGGTATACCAAAAGCAATGATGATGGTTTCAATCAATTGGGTTTTTTTAATTTAGGCTTATGGTAGATTTATCACAACTTCCATTTTCAAGATTTTAACTGCACTAAATTGCAAGAATTTTCTCTGTTTTCACTCAAGTGTCTCTTTCAATATTGCTGGCCAATAGTAATTGACTGTTTTCAGTTAACTCTCTGAATCTTATACATTTCTTTTAAATTCAAGCACTGAGAATTTGGTTTTGTATTAAAAAGGTGTACCGTAGCTGATATATTTCCTTCTACTTGTCACCTTTCTGATTTTCAGAATATTGTATATCAAGGAGAAATTACTTGTTGATCACTTGTGGGAGTGGAGCAGTTAAAAATGATGTGATGAAGATAAATTTGTAATGTCCCATTAAATGTGGGTTGAGTTTTTTGTTGGTTCTCGTCCTTGCAGCCAGGGTTTTTCTCTGGATCCTCCGGTTTTCCTCCCTTCGCAAAAAACAACATTCCAAATTCCAATTTGATCTGGAAAAAGTGGACAAGAAGAGCCACCCAGCAGAATGTCCATCGCTAAATTATTTATTTATGTCCAGTGTTAGAACACACGTTTACACGCATTTGGATTTGATTAGAAGATTACTGAATAAAGGTGTTTGGATACAGAAATCCTAATCACCTGATTTTTCAGGTAGAGTTCGTGGAGATTTAGCATTCTTGCAAAATTTTAAAAATTTATAAACTAACACGAAAAATTGAGAATGAAAGCATTGAAAATATGGGTTGAAGTCTCAATCTTTTTTATCAAGCTGCAACAAGTACTTCATTGAGGGAGCAATTATTTGCAAGGTTTCTATGACTCCTCTTGCTATTCTTTTTACTTGTGGAATTCATCTCTTTACCAAAATTTCTTTTAATTTCTTTTGTTTAATTTTGTTTTCATTTGTTTGCTAACTAAAGTAAAAATAAGGTCCACTGATCTCATAACCCTTGCTTTGAAATAGGTTAATAGGTATGCTACTTAATTGATTTTGGCCAAAATTCCAAGGAACATACTCCAAGATAAATTCCACATTTATTCATTTTACACTTCCTAAGACATATTTCTATTGGATTGAGATTTAAAAATGATTTTTGTTATTCAGTTTTAAAAGAGGGTGTTGAAAATTATTTGATCTGAGACCAATAAGAAAAGTTTTATGAGGTGTCA